GAGTCTTTCAGGCACTGAGTGATGAGGGCTGAGCGGCGCTTGGACAGCAGCAAGAACTGCTTTATGCTCTAATGGGCACCAAAAGACACATGTTATAAAGAAACACACAAAAAATGCTTGCTGTTGTGCACAGATCATAAATGACATGTTAAAAGCTTTAGGACGACTCACTTTGATCTGGTTGAAGGTACCCAGGCTGTAATCCCAGGCTGGCACTAGGTGCGGGAGCGCGCTGTCCAAAAGATTGATAAACCTGCAGACAGAAAGAGATACAAACTGGAAACACCTTCTGTTTACAGATAACATGGACAATCAGAGCACTTTATCTTGAGGGTAAAGACCTGAGAAGTTGAAGAAGGATATTTTTTCCAAGCCCGAAGACAAATATTTAGTTCTGTAAAAAGTACATGGGGCACAATGTTCGCTGACCTACCTCTGGATAACTAACGCTCTGCGGTACAGGATATCTGGTGGGGTGCCCTGCAGACGTGGGTAGCGGACGAGGTTAGAGGACTGGAAAACATCAGCGTTCAGACCCAGATCCCTCTCACAGGACGACTTAATCTTCAAGCCTCGGATCCGCACATCTATTCCATCCTCTGTAAAAGCCAAAATGAGGAAAAAAGCGTTGCTTTATGTTCAGTGCAAAAGCTCCTGCAAAAGCATTCAAACAGAAATCAGCTAGTTTGACACAAAAACATAAAAATTCTGACCTCTACATTCCTCGATCCGAATTTCTATAACTGGTAAATGGGAAGTCATATCCTCAAGCACACACACTTCTCCTATCAGATTACTAGAAACATAAAAGTAAAAGTATGTAAATGTACAATATAAACTGTAATCAGTATACATTCATTTTTTAACTTTTTTTTTTTTAAATTGCAAACTGTAGCAATAATCTCATTTGACAAAACTTACTCATCTATGGTGACGTCACTTAGCTTCTTTAGGTTGTCTCCTTCTCCTCCAAACACTGTGACTCTTTTGGGCATGTAGTTATCATCCGTTGAGTCCACAGTCAGTATCAGCTTACTAGTAAACAAAACAGGCAATAAATAAAATATTGAGACCTCAGCAGCTTATCAGTGAAACAAAAAGAGACATAAAGTGCTTCACATTTTTAAATGTCTAATATAGCAACTCTACGTGATGATTACACCATCATAGGGATAGTGCAAAATTTGGGTATAATACCCAGATCAGTTGTTGTCAAACTTCTTACTTTAGAACCCAAAAACATTATATTCATACCATTATATATACTAATATTAATATATACATTACACCACAAGGCAAAAAACTGCATGTGGCACAGTTTACATTACAGTTTATCTTAATGATCTTGTTGTCATAGTCACTGCACTGTCCAAGCCTTTGACTTTATTTTTACTATTCTTTACTATTACTCAATTTTTGTGTTTCCTTACTTGACCACAGTGCCTTTCTTCATGTGCAGGCGGATCCAGTGTTGGCCCTGCATGCCGTCGCTCTCCCAGTAAGTTTCAACATCGCCATCTGTCAGGCAACTCGCCCCCCCGCTGGGATCTTCCTGTAAGCAAATATCAAGGTTTGATGAATGGACTGAATTCATAAACAAACCCATTTTAAATTCATAAATACATACATATTTGTCATACCCACAAATAATTACATGCATGTTATACTAGACTGTCTATCATGATGGTCACTGGGTCAAATTAAAGTCATAAAAACTTCTCAGATCAATCTAGTTTTCTTTCACTGCATTTTTGATGTTATCAGGAAAGAGGTCCAATGTAACTCCACCGAGAACGCCAATCCATGTTTTGCCAACGTTAAAAAGAAAAGAAAACAAACCTTACGGACTAGTTACTAGTATTCTATTTACCTTAACATGACATCACAAACTACAATTCTCATTTTCTTTTTTTATACTTAGAAAGATTTAGACTGTTTGAAATGAGATTTAAAGTCAGTCGATGCGAGTTTCATTTGTGACGAGGGCTTAATTTTGCTCACCGAGCATGAAGACACATCGATGCTGGTCACACACTGCTTCACACTCCCCAAGTTCTCGTCCTCTTTTCCTATGTGATCGTAGAAGTAATGCACGAGGTCCTCATCACATTCATATGTCCAAGTAGGAGGAACATACCTGAAACAGTTCAACTGAGCATTAATTGCATTCATTTTAACATCTGCTGCACCAGAAAACTCAACTTTCCATTTTAACTTTGCACAGACGGACTCACCTCAGCTTCTGGATGGCAGCCTCATCACACTCTGCGATTTTGGGTTTCTCGCCAATGTAAAGTGCATTCTCCACATCCACCACTTGTTCCCACCTGTTGCAGGGCTTGTGGTCGTAGCCAAAGAGCTGCTGCTGCCTAGTGACAGTCTCTGGTGACTCCACGGGTACCAGCCTGTCGCCTCCCTCGGTGTGTTTACACACGAGGATCCAGCCTTCCTCCAAATCTTGGCCCGGACGGTGCTCCTCCAGCTGCTCCTGGGGACAGCCACGGATCAACTGGTCAACATTTGCTTTCTTACCAAATTTACAATAATTGAGAACACACAAATCAACCTATAATACCTTTTTCGAGTTCCATATTTTAAATTTTGTGTCACAGCTCATAAAAAATTCTTATTTATCTTGTATACAAAGTTCATCCACTTTCTGAAAAATCCATATTTCACTCCACCCTTGTTACCTTTAAGCCAACTGTTTTCCTGAATGGCTTGCCCTTTTGCAACCAGAGGGTTTAAACAGCAGGTATGAGGAGCTGCATGTCTGAGATGACATTAGGGATATCAGCACTCCATGACCTCATACAGAGCCAAGAGCTGAAAAACTGTCTGAAATAGTTTTATTTGATGCCAAACACAGGAATATAATTCCTGTGTTTGGCTTACATGAATTATTTGTCTGTAACAAAACCCATTATTTCTAACTTTAACCACAATAGACATTTGCACCATTATTGTGCAATATACACTGCAATAATTATAATCAAGATTAATCTATTTTTGCTGTAATAAAATGTGGCAAAAATATATAAACCTCTCTCTTTCTAACTCAGTTGCTCGAGCTTATATTCATGATTCATCATTTTACAGAGCTCTTATTGATAGTGACAAGATCACCTGTTTTTTCTGGGATTGCCAGTTAAACCTAATGCATATCTTTGGATGAAAATCACTGCAGACATGAGAAGATCCTAATATGATATCACAAACTGAAATCTTCAGTCTTGCCTTTCATTCAGAAAAAACTTTTGATATAAGAACTGGAATCAGTTAATGTGAGTTTAATTTGTAAAGAGGGTCAAATTTCACTACTATGTACCTAATATGTTACTTTGCAGCTCAATACTTTTATTCTTTGACCCTTTTAGAGCTGTGTTATACTGAGCCTTAGCAAAGCCACTCAGTTCATCCACTGTCTGAAACTGTCTGAGTGCTTTTAGGCTCACTGGATTATTGGACCTCATTATTTAATGTGAGCATCCACGACTGTAACAGTATGTAAAGTGTATGTAAACAAAGGGTTATTGTTGTTTCAAGCAGCACAAAGACTTTTACTGATGTCACTGCATCCAAGGGGAAGTAACAGCGTCTTACCTTATTCATTTTGACCCAAAGGCCCTGGCTATTACAGTACTCCTCCCCTGTTGTCCGGATGCATGTCCCTTTCTTTGGTTCAATGTTGTACTTGCATGCTTTCTTACTGTGGGCAGTCTGATGGGGGCTTTCGAAGACAGAGACTATGGTTTTTCCCACGGTGGAGCCTCCCGCAGAGGCACCGGAGGAGGAAGCGGATGAGCTGGAAGATGAATCCTTGCAGATTTTGTAGCACACTTCTTTGGGGACATAACACAGACACTCGGGCACCGGTTCGCTCCTCCTGAAAGTTTCGATGCACCTGTTCAGGAAGCGGATCCTGCCGAGCAGCAGGTGAGGGTTGTCGCCCATCGTGAAGGTGGCAGTCAGTAGCTCAGCAGTAGCAGGAGCTCATCGGCTGACATTACACCGCTTTTGTTTTCCTGCGTGGCTGCGCAGGGATGCTCCTGTCAAACCAAACAAAACCCAACTTTCTTTAGAAACTTTGGCTTCGTTTAAAATATCGATTAATTAAACTGGCTCCTGGCTCTCATAATAAAATCTGAACACTGTTTGAAATGCTAGGAATTCGCTAATCAGCAGGCAAAGTTCCCTGACACAAATATCACCTCCTCCCATTAGGTAAAAGTGAGAGCGCTAACATTAGCATGCTACCAGGGTGTTCAGTAAACGAGTCCATCCCTCACCGCAGCTGTCATCAACAACCCTGGCGGCCAGCTAGGCTCATATTTAACAAACCTTCACGGGACATGAACATTTCACGGAGTAAGAAGTGTGGTCAATTCTTAAAAACAGTAGATACCAACGTACCTGCTGACAAGTGTCCCGCACCCTGTTACAGATTCTATGGTTTTCTGACAACACGGAAGAGCAAAGACTCTTCTGATCCTTCCGGCCTTCCGTCGCTGTTTCCTTTACAAAATAAAAGCTTTAACTTTTGAAGGCTGAACTCCGAAAATAATTGCCAGAAACTTCACATTTTTCGAACCCTGACTGTTTATCCAACCTTCCAACACAACTTAAAAAAAAAAAGAAATTAAAAATAAATCTGCATGGATGAGTTTTAATTGGTATTTGCTACAGCCGGGATTTTTGCGAAATTCATTGATTAATATGTTTTTATAAAAACTCATAAAAATTCGTGTCAGATACGATTAAATACATTAGTGTGATCTAAGTGTAAAGAATAAACTGCAACTTTAATATCATTATTGTTAGTGTTGTTGTTGTTAAGGGAAATCACGTGGATTTATGTAAATACAGTTATAGCAAGGGAGGATTACTTACTGAACAAACGCTTCAGACCTCCAAGGCTTTCACAATCAAAGGTTTACTATGGATTGAGTTAAATACACCTTTTTTAATAGCATTAATCACATCTTACAGAGCCTGTGTGGAAGACAAACCTATTTCAGTATATTCAACAATCATAAACATTCATAATTTTCATTATACCGATAAAGTTTTCATTTATGAAAGACTTACAGTCATCAGGGTTTTACAGTGTTTTCAGTCACAGTGTTTTCTGCTTAGAAACACTTTAGCTCCCTCCAAAGAGTTTTTAGCCACTTAAAGTAAATTGCACAATAATGATAATAATAACATATTTTTCAATTGGAATTTTATTTACTCAAGAATATCAGACATTTTTTTTCTCATAATACATAGATTTCTGACAGATAGGATAAAATGGGTCTCTGACACAGTACTAAGCAAACAGGAGATCTAATAGTTAATAATTAAATAAATAATTAGTTTTGTGCTTAATTTCCAAAAATGTCTACAAATAAAATCTGAAAAGGATGAAATCTTATTGTAGTTCACAGTTTAAAACAAGCGAGACCTTTCAATGTCACATTTCCACCTCCCCAAAAAATGTTTTCAAACATTTTTTTGTCATGTTTACAATAAACGTTTTCAAAAACATGACAGCAAGTATCAATTAGTTGTGTTCAATTAAAACTTTAATTAGTCCCCTTTCTTGTTCTTTGTGAGTGATCACATCTATTTCCCTTTCATCATCCCCGTCTGCCTCGTTTGGGTTTGACGAGACTTCCTTCAGAGAAGAGAGGCTCCCACCGCGCAGGATGCCTTTACCCCACTGCAGAAGGCTGTTGAGCCCATCACTCACAGAGTCCTGAAGGTGCAAATGCTGTTTGTTCATAGGAGTGCCTCCAGGCTGGTGAATCTCTAGATCTTCAGCACTCATCCTGAAAACATGGAAGATACTTTAAACACAAAGATGACAGTGGTTGTGATTTATTTAGGAATGTAAAATCAAGCTATTACAACAAACTGTCCAGAATGGAAGTGTTAAATACATTTTAAGTATAAAAATCTACTTACATTTTCAAAATTGTAACTGAAAATTATGATATATTCCCATTATCATTATGTAATATTATTATTATTATATTATATTATCATTATCATATGGATTAAAATTTTTATAAAAAATGAAAAAGATTTTTGACAAGCTACAAAAAAAAAAGAAAAATCAAGATAATCATAGAAGGATTGATATATAATTCCAGTTCTACTTATAAATAGAGTTCACAAATATTTACATTTTGAATAAAATACACACACACATATATAACATAACATAACAAGATGAAAGAGGTGGCTTGGGTGAGGGAAGTCTCGGCTTCTCTGCTCAGGCCGCTGCCCCTGCTACCTGAACCCCATAAGGTTCGGGTAGGGTGGATGGATGGATGGATGAATGGATGGATATACTCATATATCTTAAATTCCATCCCTCTCACTTTACCTCATGTCATAAGTGGAGCCTTTGAATGCTGGTCTGAGGCTCTCCGCTGCTGTCGACAGAGTGTAAGGGATGGAGAAGTGTCTCTTCATCCAGTGTTTGTCCTTCACCATTGGAGCCAGATTCTGGTACATGTCGTCCACAGCCAGCATTGACACCTGTGGGGAAAAGAAAGAGATTTAACATCTCATTCTAGGTTTCTAGTAGCCATAATTAGGGGGAATGTCTGAAGGGGAAAACCTGAAAGTTTCTGTCAATCAACTGGTTCGTTTCAAAGTCATCATCATCTTCGCCAAATGGATTGATGATCAGCTCTCCCACCTACAAAACAGAAACAGAAACTGGACAAGCAAACAGTGGGAAAAAAAACTGCATGCGTCAGTGCTTCAGCATGCCTTTCTCCATGCAGCTGTGATATTCAGTAAACATCTCAGTCTACTGTTCCCAACTGATGGGTCAGGGGCCTCCAATTGGTCACCAGATAACTTAGAGGGTTTATGAGTTGAACAAAGAAAGTTCGCATACATAAGCTTGGCGTAGTTGTATTACTTATTCAAGTAAAACCAAAAGACAATCTTGATAGGAAATCTCTTTTTAGAACAGCAGCAACAAAGACCTCAGCATCACATCATTGTTATTTTTTTTACTTTTCAACTGCTGTGAACAACCAATTTATGCTCATAAGGTGTATTTTATGAGCTTATTGGATGTCTTTTTTTTTTTAAGTGAAATCATACAAAACCACAATGTTAAAACTGTCACAAAAAATAAAAAGTACATATTTCCCTCTGAAATATGATAAGACTATATTATAGAGCCTGGAATGGAAGTGTGCACTTATACATGATGGTGCTGTGTTACCTTGAGCCAGCCAGTGTAAAAGAAGAACTGCAGCAGGGTAAAAACAGGGACGTACAAGTCCAGTCTGTGGTCCTTGTAACCTTTCTCGGGATTCAGGAATTGTCGGCCAATCACACAGAAGCCAAAAAATGAGTAAACTGCAATAGTTACTACCTACACAGAAAAAAACACAATGAGATAGAAAATTAGGGGTTGCTAAGTACAGTTGTGTCTCAGGAGGTAGAATCATCTGGTGATTTATATGAAATTGATGAAATCTGGCAAGCACATATGTTGTTGAAAAGAAACAGCAGAAAGGTTTTGTCATGTTAAAAAACACATTTTATGTAATGATCTAGGCAAAAAACCTGAACTGGTCATGAGTTAAAGAAGCATATCCATGTGCACCACTAATATGATTCAGGACAACAGCAACATTACATGCTGATGGTTGGTTTAATCTATAAAAAAATCTAAAAAGAATCCAAGTTTTATTTGATAATTCCTTAATATGTTCTAGATATAAAAATCTTTGAATGTATTTAGTTATGAATCAAGTCTATAGTGATGTACAGCACTTAAATGAATGGCTCATATTTCATTGGCTGATCGTACCTGAGTGTAGACCAGAGGGATGCTTATCCAGTCGTAGTGGAACAGCAGACTGCACTTTGCTCTGTAGTTATTGAGTTCCTGCAGATGTAGTACAGCAGTGGAGTTTACGCACACTTTAGAGCCATAGATTATTTGTAAGTCATAGAAAATGTGTAGGTCTGCTCTTGTTGCATTCTTTAGTAAACTCCTCACATCCATCAGCAGCCTCAGAGCTATGTCGTCCCTCACTCGGCCCTCCTCTCTCGCTCTGGACGCCAGGTTTGAAAACCACGTCAGAGGCATCCAGTACTTGTTGAAGTCAGAGTGCAGTGACTCAAACTTTTTCAGCTCCTCCAAGGTCATAAATCCTGCCCACGTATTAGACACACTTAGTTAACATGATATATGAAACCATTAAATTACTGACAGCAATTAAAGTGACTGCAATAAACTGAACTGCATAACACTGAAATGTTAGTATTAGGATTTTATTCACTTTAAAATACAATGAAGTAAATGTGTTTGAGTTTTGGTCTGTTAGTTAAACTAAACAAGACTGAGAATCATGATGGCTGTTCTTTTTTTTTTTCCATTTTTTCCCCCCGTTGTAACTGACAAAATACTTGTATCCCAAAAGCCCCACTGCCCAACTCAATCTTAATCACACATTTTTACTAAATGGACAAACTCCTTATCCCTGTGAGGTGTACAGTGGTATATTGTGACCTATAAAAACAATTCTCTTGGCTGAACTCTTCCCTGTTTTAGTGCTAAAAATATATATTTCTGTGTGTTTATAAGTATTTGATGTGTAGAAAAAACTTATTTCAGCATTATTTTGTAACTTATAACTAAGATTTGGTGAAGTAAAAAGATGCCTGTGAGAAGTACAAAAGGAAGAAGTCCTGAGTAATGAGCCCTTTATTTTTTCCTCAGTATTGTCTATATTGGAAGCACTCTGTCTTTCTTACTGGTACATTCAGCAATTATTATATGTCTGAATATGGTGCAAAAGGTACATTTGAGATTTTTAAAATTAACTCGACTTTTGATTAAGAACTGTTGGTCTCACCAGCCTCCACAATGTGGTCCAAAGTTGGGAACCGCTTGTGAACTCTTGTGCTAATGGAGCGGAGAATAAGGACCGAAGATAAATTGGCATATCTCATGAGGGTTCGTCTCAGCAGACGGCCCTTCTCATCAGTCCCGTGGACGTTCCCAGACACCACCATCATCAGGTTGTCAGGCAGTGGGAAGCTGGTGTACTGACCCCACCACCTATTAAAGGCCAAGGTCACATAGAAACCTAGAATAAAACAAAAAAAAAGAGAGAAAGTTCATGCATATGACTTTTCTTTTAGTTCTTTAACTGCTGTATGATTCATTCTTACCAAGCACAAACAAAACAGGGATGTAGTTGGTGTTGGTGAACTGATCACAGTAAAGGGCGATACGCTCAAACAGATCCTGCTGCCTCCGTGTGAGGAGAAACCTGTGGAGCAAATTAAAATTGTCACTGCGAGACAAACAAGCAAAGCTAGGTAAGAGTAAGAGCGGTATGAAAATGTGAATTTACCTGTAAAACAAACTGAAAAACAAATAAACACTACAAAACACCAGTAACTCCTTGTAGAGCAGCCTGTAGATGCTTCCCTTCCACCTGAACAGGAGCCTGGAAAAGCCAGCAAACCTGGCATTGGCCACCTCAAGACTGTAGGAAACTGTCATGTTTAAGCACCAAATCCCTGAAAAGCATTAAAAGGCATTTAAATGTATGTTTAATAATTACATATACATAAAAGACTTTTTAAGACCTGTCCTACCTCCACCTGTGCTGAATCCTGTTGTCCTGAGAAAAAAGTTTCTTCCTCTGGGCCTGAATTTAAAGCTCTCTGTGGCGCTGTCATAAATTAACACCTTAGTTTTATTACTTGGGAACCTGCAGCCTAAGTGAAACACACCTACAGTTACAGACTGCATGAAAACATCTCTTTTTAAGCTCACATAACTGGTTTGAGTGATCAGCAATCAAGTTATTATTCAGTAAAACCTTCCAGTAAAAGTTATAATCTATAAGGTTCTCAGTCAACACAAAAGTGTTAATAATTATTGTGTTAATTCCTCCTGTTAGTGCTGAGCTGACTTAAATATTTTTAAAAAGTTAAATTATTCTTACAGCTGTCATTTATTCTAAAAAAAAAAGAGATAAATAATAATTAATGATACGCAAAAGCAAAAAACAAAACAAAAGACAAAAAAATCTAACAGAAACACTAAATTATTACATGTCAGAGGCAGTTGGGCTTAAAAAATATATTTTATTTATATACAAATTATACATATACCTGTATAGGGCAGCAAGGTGTCATGGTGTTTAGCACTGTTAGCTCACAACAAGAAAGTCTGAATCCAGCATCTGTCCGAGGCCTTTCTATGTGGAGTTTGCAAGTCCAAAAACGTGGAGTTAGTGGGTTAGGTTAACTGGTGACTCTAAATGGCCCATAGGTGTGACTTTGAGTGTGAATGGTTGTCTGTCTCTCTGCGTTAGCCCTGTGACAGACGGAGGACCTGTCCAGGGTGTACCCCGCCTCTCACCCCGTGCCAGCTCCAGTCCTCCCCTGACCCTGAAGTGGAGAAGTGAAAGAGGATAGATGGATGGATAATCTATATAAATTTAGATTTTTAATGAAACTTGTACGCAAACAATTGGACTGCAGCTTCTTCTAAACTATGTATGATTTATCACACTCAGGAATGCATTTTTTATAAGAGCAGACTTTATAATAATCGTGTATAATGTTACATAATGACGTCATTACAGCTCATATTGGATTGTAATCTCTGCAGGGGAATAGCTCTTTATATGACTTCTAAATATTTAGAGTTGAGGATTTATTTTATGATCAAGACTGCCATCTGTTTTATAAATGTATCCATTTTATGTGTGTATTTGAGAGGATTATCAGCTGTGTCAGTTTTATTGTTTGATGATGTATTTATTACTGTTATTGACTTGCTTCGTCTAGTTATCCGTAAGGCTGAATTACGTTTTAAAAAACTTGCATGTTAAATTTTAACATGCAAAAATTTAACATGCAAATGTTGTTGCACAATTGCACAAATCTGCTGTTGTTTTTTAATCATTTGTTCTCACATAATAAAAAATGTGGCGTTTTAAGCTATATGTAATACTATTCTGACTGCTGTATGTGCCTTTTCTTTTCAAATAAGGTTTACTTACATATGTAAAGTAGAAAGCAATATTTAAGTGAAAATGCACTGCACACTTTTTCTGTCGACATGCCTTTTTCTGATGTAACACAAATAAGTACTTTGGACCTGCTATCTCAGCATCCTGCCACAGAAAATCAAACAGAGCGCATACAGATTGATTGCTCAGCAGAGGCCGCTAGGTGCGTAGACTGTGTTATTTACTGGTGACTGTGATAGCAGCAGTCTAAACATCAGAGCTGTCAGAGGTGTCCATCCCTCCAGTCTCCGTCCTTTGTAACTGGTTGCTGTGCTTAGCTCACTTGTTTGTTTTTCACATAGTTACAGCTCCTCACTGTAAATCAGACTCTTCTTTTCCAGCCCTGCTTTGGACACTGGTTCTGTTTGCTCACCTCTGAGTGGACATTTATGAGGCCATGTATCCTCCACTGGAGCCTGGATCAGCAATCACTGTGGACTTCCCCATTCCCAGCCTGAATCCGAGTCTCACAGTGTTTACATTTTTATTTGCACTGATTTTTGTTTTACTAGGAGATTTAAAAATATATATATATATCCACGCTAAAAATGAACAAATCTCAATTCCTGACACTAGGTGGCATTATTGTAATGTGCAGCATGGCTCTGAGCCTCAGCCCTTAGGCCTGTATTTACTTCATAAACAGAGACACCCAGAGGCTCCTTTATTGACAGAAAACAATCAAAGGAACATCTGACATATTTAACACTTTGTTTGCATTTTATGTCAAAACTCTCTGGTTCCAGAAATCTTAAAAGTCTTGCTTTTTACTTTGCTTCCCTCGTGAGTATCAAACTGACACACAATGGTTCGTCTGTGATCTTGATCTATAGATGAAACACACGCCCAGATTAGCATCCATGGATACTCAGACAACTGTTTCAGCCTAGTCATTTCCTGCCTTTGGCTACTGATTGTGGCTAAGATCTCTGAGAATGGCACTTCCATGCTGATCATTTTGGTAACCCAATGCTGTAATTACAACTTCCCACGGTGAGTGAAATTAGAGCTCAAAAGAGGGATTTCAGGTAGCTGGGGTCAGCCTGGGTCATTGCCAGGGCAGAAAGGGGAACAGAAAAAGATTAGGAGTCTGTTTTCAGAGATACTGAACACAAATACTTAAAGACAAGCTTTTATTTCTCTGTCAACAATATTAAAGTGTATACACAATCAACATAGTGCATCTTCCTGTATAAATGTGGTTAAAAAAATCAGTGCTTTTATTACATACAGTATTGCCATTTTACATCTGAATGATTAGTAATGATTCAGTGATACTGAAGACGTTACGGGGTGTCAAATATGTAGCTAATGGCACAAAATCTGTCTGCAGCATTTGCAAAGTGTTAACATTACAGAGAATCAGGACACAATTTTGTCTCAGGCAGATATCTGACTCATTGTCAATTTTACAGCATTTTTACTGAAAAAACAACAACATTACACTTAGCCTGTCACCACAAAAACAAGCCAACGTAGTTTGTTTTTCTTTCCTTTACAACAGTAGCCTTTCTTAATGACAGTAGACTGACTAATTATAAAAAACAAACAAACAACAAAAAATCCCAAGCCTTGACTTATATTCGACACTTTTAAGACATCTCAGGCTGTTTATCAACTGTTTTATGAATTGATAGTTTATTATTTTTCTTTTTTCTTTTTTTTTTTAAATCTTTGTTCAAAGACAATAAAACATATACAATGATTTTGCTGGTCCGGACTTAAGATTAAACTAGCCTACATAGCCTATTAACTAAGATGTCTAACAGGCTTTTTAGGCTAACAAACAGTTTGTCAAACAAAGCTCGTTTATGTTAAAATGAAGGAGGGTTATAAAGTTTGATTACTTTTTTAAATATTTGGATTCCATGTATCCTATTATTTAATTTTGGCAATTTTAATTTCCCAGCAGGACTAAATTTAGTCAAATTCAAATATATTTAGTCTAAATGTTACGGCCCTAGCAGGGCCTCCTCCTGAAGGTGCCTGTGTGGGCGTGTCCCACCACCTCTTCTGCCTGAGGTGCCACACTTCCCTTTTGTGCAGCTGACTCTCGTCAGTAATCAAGGAGATTTAAGCTCAGGGAAAGGTGAGCTCTGGGCCAGAGTGCCATTAGTGTGGTTATAGCTAGTGAGCTGTGTTTTTGGTGGTTTTCAGCTAGTGAGCTTCATGTCCGTATTTGCAGTTAGTGAGCTGCTCTTTCTTTTTGGCTTACGTATTGACCAACGCCTGAGTTTTGTTTGTTTTCTTAAATGGTGATAGCAGCTTGTCCGTCTCTTTTAGTTGAGCTACTTTAATAAAACTCTTTAATTAACCCTCATGCCTTCTTGTCTCCTTTTTCTGACCCGGACACTTTTTGTTACTTCCCCCTCACCGCCTAGACCCCTCAGGGGAACATAACACTAAAGAAAAAGTGTGCTTATTGAAATGTATTTGACACTTAGCAATAGCACCACACAAATGTCCAGTAATTTAGAATGTAATTTTAGAAACATGTCAACCTTTGGACTTGTAGGTATTTATACAGTCAAAAGTATAGTTAAGGTAGTAAAGTTTGAAAGTTGGCGCTTTTTTATGCCTCTCCCAAAATTTTAAAAGTTAGCATGTTTGCTAACTAGCAAGAAAATTAACCAAATATATGATTAATTTACAACTTTAGAATGTGGGTTTACAGGTTACAATAAAAAAAAAAGGTTAATAGTATATTCACCGTAGCTTTCTACTGTTTTTAAATGCTAATCCTGAATGTTATCAGTGTGGTTTAGCTAAAGTTAATTTACATATATCAAGCTTTGGCTAAACAAAACAAAACTGGAGAGACCACATCATAAGAGACTACTTCATTCATTCTAAATTAAAAACACACTGTTTCATATATGAGGTAATACGAGGTAAGGTTTACTTATTGCTAACTTTATATGTAGCCTTAGCCTCACTCTTTTTATTTTTGTATACATCATACACGATTTTTTTTACATTAGTCATTTCAATTAATATTAATAAACCATAGACAATATTTTATTTTTACCAGTTCATGAAATAAGTTTATTATTAGCTAAAATTCATTTGAATCTCAATGTTGCTTCAATGTAATTTGCAAAATAGTCAAAACAAATGTGTTTTTTTTTTATGTACAAGGACACACATAAGAACGACAGTAAGTAAAAAAAAAAAAAAACCCCTAAAAAAAATGTTTATTAATTGAATCTAAATTATAGAATTTGATTTAAACTTTTAAAATGTGGTGAAATTTAGCAAAAGTCTCTGTCACATGGGCTTAGGTGACTTAGGAACTGTACCAAAAACAACCTTGTGATTGCTTTGGCTACTAGCAGGTTGCTAAAGTTTGCATTGAAGACAGACTTCACTGCAAACCCTTGCTATCCAACTACCAGTTGTTAGTGAAGATTGAAGAAGCGTAACGTAAAATAGGAACTGGAGAATGTTCATCTTCACGGAAAAAGTGTGTCATACGACTGAAACTAACAGGCTTGAACACACAAAACTTCACTTTGAAAGCAAAATGTCTCAGTTTCCAGTTTGCGTTGCACTCTTCACAGTTCTACAACACTTAGTGAGGAGTTGGCGA